GCATAATTTCAATATTCATTTACTCAATCTCGAAGCCTGTATATAGCAGATTATGGCTAACATAAGGCATGTTGGAAGTAGAATGATAAAAAATTAAGTACTTAGGGACTTATAATATTTCATAAATTAAAACTTTTACTATAAAAATAATTACTAATTCTACAAATCTTTCAAACCAGAAAAGCTATTCTAAAAACAGCGCACTTGTTCCCTCCTCCTTTGTCTTATTTGAGATTATGAGACAAAACTCAAACCATCAACGCTCTGCACATTTGTAACAAAATGGCGCATATCTTCAGGCATAATATAGAGCGAAATGCGTTTCAACAGCCCTTCAGGCTAAAATTGAATTTAATGGCAACGGCTATGTACTGTGAAAGCAGTCTATTGTATTTCTAAATTGATGCCCACACATTCCCAACTATGGAAAGTGAATTGGTAATTGCATTAACACGTTCCGTAGAGGTTACGTTACTCCTTCACAATATGAATGCAAATTATACGTATTGCTGTAGCCAAAACGTTAACAGATGCAGAAACACTGCGACTAACAAGAGATTGCATATTTGAATGTAATTTACATATTTTGTAATGCAGAACGCGACATTGTTATAAAGTTAATAAAAATCTTGCAGCCTCGTTTTGCCTAGTAAGGTAATCTTTAAAAGTTTGTGAATAAAGCTATACTCATAGTTTATGAGACTGTAAACAAAGCTGCGTATAAATCTTAAAGTTAAAAATTATTAACAGTGAATTTAAAAATCGGAACACAAAATAGCTGCCCTTATCTACTAAAGTACAGATTTATTTAAAAAATTACGTATTTAAAAGACTAATTATACAGTATTGCAGTTAGATGGCGCCACTTGCACACTGTTATTTTATTACAATAAAGTTATACATATTATCAGCCTTAATTTCTTGTACAAATAATATTTTATATGTACGTTACATATAAAATATTATTTGTTATCAAAATTCTTTTTAGATAGACTTCAATGAAGAATACTCGTAAGATAAAAATAAAGCAGGTCTTCTAGACAACTGGGTAGTCTGTAGTTTACGCGAGTAGTACACATTTAAATAAAACACTTTAACGGTTTAAAACGCGATATATTTTAGTAAAACTTGTTTGATAATTATTTTTACGGCCCCACGTTTCGGATGCTTTGCAGCAGCCGTGGTCACTGGTCACGGGGAGACGTAAAATAATTTTTAAACAAGTTTAACTAAAATATATCGCGTTAGTGTTTTATTTAAATAGACTGAACATATTTTGTAAATAGTAATTAACATAAAAAGTAACATGAAAAGAGAGTATATATTCGCAGAAAAAAATAATAATTTTGCGCAATGGTGTGTATTATTTAATATAAAATATCACAGACTATTAAAGCCCGAGATTAAACAAGTCACTACCTGTGCCCAGCCCTGGGACATTAACAGGTTAAATAAAGCACTACCGTACAACAAGTGTATACTAACTTCTACTGAACTTATACTTGAAAATTGGAAGTGATCTCCCTTGGCTAGCTCCGATAAAAGTTGCCGGCGTTTATGGCGGTTACTATAAACCTCGATTTGGGCTTGCGTAACTCGCTAGACCTCCAAAGAATCGATAAAGACGGATAAGGAGGTATTTGATCTTTCTTCAATTTATAGATAGTGAGAGACTTGTGTAATAAAGAGCTTTGGACAGTAACTTGGAACCAGTCTGTTTAATATAATTTAATATATTGGCACGTTAAAGAATGTTCAGTAAAGTGTTTGTCAATTGTTTCCTCTATTAAGTTTATTAAGTATTGTCTCTAGTACTCAATAAAATAAAATACTTTTAACTATTATAACGTTTAAATATCTTATAATGAATACAAGTTAATATTAAAATACCTATTTTATAACCTTGTTAACAACGAGTGACGAATGAAATCGCCCTATTTGATGCATACGGCGAACACATTTCTGTGTCTGTTTAATAGATTTTACAGACAAGTACAGACTTGTATGCCTCTCGCTGAGATTCAATCCTAGGAGCTCGTGCACTTATTCCTTCCTCATTTTTAACTCTTAGCATTTTTTTAATTATGTAGGAGGACAGACATGGCATGGTGGCAGTTCACTTGATGGTAGGTGATATATCCTAGCCTATAGCATTTATGCGATGCGCTGTCGAGCAATTTTGGCTTTGGATATTCGGAAATCCACAGATTGAAACCGAAACGCGATAGAGCTTCACAGCTTTTTCATCTGTGCTGGTTCGTGATCCTTTATTCCTACCATCCATTTAATATACAGATTTCCAGATGAAGCCCAATATTTTAATAAAAGTTATCAACTTAAAAATGTATTAATATTGCGCGTGACTCGAAAAGGTGTATCGTACTGTCCTATCGTAGCCTGATGTTTTAAAGCCTAAATCACTCATCGATAAATGGTCCAACCATCACTAAAGTAATTTATGAGATTAGAGCGTTCAAACAAACTGTTCAGCTTTATAATATTAGCATAGATACAAATGATAAATCACATTGAAGCTCGTGTAAATATGCCTCTTTTGTTAATTAACACCACCAATGTAACAATGTATAATCAACGAATTCAATTATAAAATGTACGCAACATTTCCGATTGACGTACCATCGACGTGAGACAGTATTAACGAGATCTGAGTGTACGCAAGTAGCTTTTCATGCTTCCGTTTACGCCAATTACGGAAGCATTACCTTGACTAATAGAGAACCAACTCCGGTTTATTTGTTGGGAACACGTTTGTGCAATTATCGAGATTCTTGTTCCAAGATGCCTCCTCTAAACTAACTATTAAATATTTGATTACGATGTTTGGGAAATGAGCAGCGATAAATTGGCGGTATAACACCTAAATTAAGTATATACGGAACAAAATTAAACGTTGTTATAAAGTCACGTAACGTTAAATGATCCGATATCTGTAGATTTGTCAGTGACAATATAATTATTCCATATTCCATTTGGATGGGGACACCGTAGTCCCCATAAAATGACACCTCAATTCCAAAAAATTTCTCGAAAAAACAGTTCTACCTTTTAAAAAAACCCCCCAGAACCACAGGACGTGGACGATTTCGTGGGGAACAACTACTTTTGATAAAACTGAGGAGGTTTGTTGCAAAAATTATATTTTTGTGTCCCAAAATATTTTAAACCCCCGCGCCCCCGGGGCCCCCCCCTGCTGTAATGAAACATCGGGCTGTACATAATACATAATTTGTAAATTAATTCAACTAATACATGTCACGTTTCAAACGGTTAAAAGTGTATTATTTAAATGTGTGCTATTAGCCTACACTACCTAATTGAGAATAATTATCTTTTTCTTTTCAGTAAAAATAAAAGAAAATTAGTTTTGGGAATAAGTGGTATGACACTCCATAAAAATATTTTCAAATAAGTTTACCTAATATATCGCGTTTTAAACCGTTAAAGTGTTTTATTTAAATGACATCAAATTTTCTTAATATCGGTGAAGATTTTAAAACGTAGGACTGAAATTACATCCTAGCAACCCAAACTTATCATTTTATTATATTCGTAGTATATAGTAATAATAATCTTGACCTTATCCGTAGTCTATTTAATAATTAAAGATAAACAACACGTTTTATCTGAAGACTCATACTGTCGTATTATACATTAATAACATTCGTCTTTCAGAGCAAAGTAAAAAAGAAACAAGTTGAGTATATTATCGTATCCTATAAAAACATAAATGTGAAATGGGAGCCCAGTTCAATATTATGATATAACATGTCTTAGTTGTTGACATTAACGACAAAAGGAGTAAAAGCTAGTAAGTCCGACAGAAATTCCTAAAATTTATTTATTACATAATAAAGTTTAAGTGATTTATGTGAAATAGTCTCGGAAGTTATGAGGGTGTGGAAGGTAGGTTAAAATGGTGAACAGGATACACCAATACATCAATTAACCAGTTCACTTGAAAATGGCTGATACTCCTACTGGTGTCTAGATTAAAAGTAACAATAATTATATTCCTTCCTTCCGATTAAAACAGTCGTTTCAGGAATAACCGCTCCGAGTTATAAAGTTGTTTAATATAATTGAATTAACATTAACATAATTATGTTTTCCGGGAAAAAGTATTAGATCTAATTAAAAAGCTAAACGAAAGATTCTCACTCGAAATTTATTACGAAAACTTCCGTGTTTTCTGTTACCCATAACTGACAGACCATAAATCATTTATAAGACACTGAAGCCTTATTCATAAAAAATCTATAAAGTGATTTTTACGAGCGACGTCAATTGTGGAAAAAATAAAGCTTTTTTTATTGGACTGTAAATGTCTATGGGAGCGCGGAATAGAAAGAAATCTAGAGCAAGCCTCGTCGCATTCCTGATCTGAATAATGTAATAAATATTGATTGCATTGTGTTTTGGTATTCAATAAACGACACCTACAGATATCTTAGCACGCTTGAAAATTGGACTCCTATAGCAGAATATTATCATTCATTTCCCAAATAAAGGTCAGCGTAGGTACTTGACTTTCAGCATAACATATAAATAAATTAACATAAAAATGAATGATGTACGTAAATATGTATTATATCAGAGAAAAACGGCTATATTCAATTAAAGATATAGATATTTTGTATCTTTTAATATCTATACTACATGTATATCTTAATAATGTCTTAAACCAGAAACGTATCTAGTGTACGTACACGCACACAAAGCACGCGAGAAACTAAATAAAAGTGTAACATTGTTTATTCGTATAGGCTGTACAAAACATAAGTGAGGAAAATGGATAATTAAGTTGGCTATTAACCACGTATAACTAAGAAGGATAGAAAGATAGAAGGATAATATCGTAACAGCACGAATCACGAGGGTCCCGTCATTCATCAAAAACCGCTCGAAAAGTAAATTGGAATCAGGATATCGTTTCGCAATTCCTTACGTGAGAAAAGTAAGTGTTATTGGCACCTGTCAAGATGATGAATGACGTGTCCACGAGCTGGAGTGAAGAGAACTCCCGGGAGCTATTGCTATCCGATATAGCGAACCCATTTGAAACCGGTCGAAGTCAGGAATTTCATAAAACAGCCCTGAGAGGGGACAAATTGCTGCCACGTCTGCGGAGATTTATTACTGATCTTACAATGGCTGGTAAATGTTATGACTATGAAGTTTCTTTTAAGGTGATAAAATATTAGCTGAAGAAGCGTTTATTGTTTGGGCTGTTGAAGTTTGAGAAGCTTTTAACTTGAATCATAGGGTTCTCTCGATGGAAGGTAAAATAATCTAATCAAGATGCACTATTGATCTATATTCGCTTTCAACATTCGTAAAAGCGTAAAAAGTTAATTATATAATATGAACATTCAAGCAGACCAATTTTTTAGTACCCGTGATCACGGTGTGATTGATATAGGCGTTTTAATCCGTTAAAAGTAATTACTTAATGTGTATTCGTCGTGTAAACTTAAGACACAACCTATTTATTATCTATAAATTATCTTAACAATATATTATGGGAATTTTGTTTTGGATTTTAATTATTATCTTCGCATTTTGACATTTCACTAATTTCTCCGCTTTTGATAAAATGTTAGATGGGATTAATATATCTATTAAAATGAGTAAGTACTATGAGTACTTTAATAATTCAGATAGTTAGCGTTTAATATGTTAGACAATGAAGTATTTTTATACTTAAATCAATACTATATACTTAATCTTATTCTGTAAAAAGAATGAAACCATTTCATTATTAAACATTCCATAATTTGCAAAAGTCGGTGACCTCAAATAATTCTATTTGTGAGATATGAACCGAATATTTTGAATTGTGTTACTGGAATTTGTTTATGAAATGAATGAGGAACAATTTGACTGCTTCAATAATTGGAAAACGTACCTCTAAATCATAACGCAATTATATATAATTATCTTAATTATAATTATTCAATTCCTCATTGTAATTTGATTAGTCCGTTGCTCCAATCGACGGTCACGAGTTTGCTCAGTTTCAAATTTCCAAAATCCAAATACCAACTTCGACGCAACAGATGGCGCTAGCGTAGCCGTTTTTTACTTTGACGCCAGAGATAGCCGTCATCTTTAGTCTCCCCGTGACCACGGCTGCTGCAACGCATTCGAAACGTCGGGCCGTAGTTATAATAATTTTCAAATAATTTAACTAATACATATCGCGTTTTAAACCGTTAAAGTGTTTTTTTTTATTATATATTTTATCTAATATAAATTTTAGTACCTATACTTTATCCCTGGATTAATGTCATAAAGTCATGAAGCGTAGAACTGCATTTTGGCTTCAATCTTTCGTGCTTGAGATTTGACGTTTTAAGAACAGAAAGCTTAAAGCATTGAAATACGACATATAGCTTGTGCTGAAAGCAGCTTAATGTATCCTACGTAAGCTTTATAGATTGAATGCGAGGAGAAATTGTTTGTTGCACTGTGTTTGTTGTTCCTGTGTTGTTTATTATGATATCGATAAAAAATAATAACTGAGATTCGTACCTACTTATTCTATTGTTAAAACTTCATGTTTTTTTTTGAATTGCCTTACAGAGACGTGCTCTTTTTATAAAATTGAAAATATTTACACTTATTTCTTCTTAAACTGTAATTTAATAAAAATAATTCTATATTCCTTAAAAATTTTTGGATCCCAAATTTTCGTTTGTCTGTCTGTTCGTCATGACTACATTCTACAGAGTGTTCAAAAGAGCAACAACAACAGAGAAGAACACCCAAGAAACTCAGTCCGGCATTTTTTTAACATGTCTTATAAACTAATACATTGCGAATTTATTAACCTAAGGAGCAATTCATATTATTTAAAACTTTAATATTTGTCACATGATGGCACTATATAAATTAAAAATCGATTTTAATTTCAAAAAATATCAAGACACGGGCAGGACTTGAACCGGCGTCAATAGCGTTTCGTGCTGTTGCTCGAACCAATTAGCAATGAGGACACGGTAGCCTAATTGGTTATAGCAACAACGCTGAAGGACTCAGGTTAAAATCCTACCCGCGTCATAAAAAACTTTCTTATTTAATCAAAAATCGATTTTTTAATTTTTATCGAGTATTTTATTTTAAATTTTTTTTTTATTTTTTTGGTGAGATTATCATCAATGTTTTCACTATTGTACGCCATATCATTATATATTCACGTACCCAAAGAGTTTCATGGTCACTGAAATCGATAGCGGGTCTAGTTATTTTAAAGTAATATGTATAATAATATGACCTAATCGTATTTTGCTTCCACTTTGTCAGTTACCTATATCACATAAACAAATGTTTTTAAATACTGTCTATATTTTACGTGAGTAGTACACATTGAAATAAAACATTAACGGTTATAAACGCGATATATATTAGTTCCTAACTTCCTTGAAAATTATTTCAATAAATATATATCGCGTTTTAAACCGTTAAAGTGTTATATTTAAATTAATTATTTTTCTACCTTAGATGAATAATGCAAAAGACCAAGAAGCAAAGTACCCTCTGTAGCTAAATGATTTAACGTGCTGCCCAGTATTGCTTTAAGAATTCCTTAAGAGGTCCTGGGTTCGAATTCAGGGAATCAATAGATTGTTTCGTCGAAGTCAACTTGCTTATAAAAATCCGATGAGTAAAACGCATACATAAATGTGTTCGCCCCATGCCTCAAGGGGAAAAACGGGATTTCAATTAGACAATTAATAGTACATTCATAGTGGAAGAAAATAGTCTTACAAGACTAATAAGAATAATAAATAAAAAAATATAAACTATGGGTGACTCTGACGTTTGACGTCAGAAATTGTCAAAAAACTGCTATGCTAGCGCCATCTGTTTCGTCGGAGTTGGTATTTTGATTTTGGAGATTTGAAACTGAGCAAACTCGTGACCTAAGAATAATAATTGTAAGACAAGAAGAGTGTTTGCAATTACGAAATTAGATAATTGAACTAAAAAACACGAAATTCGCGTAGAGATCGACTACACGCTTGGTCAGCAAAAATCACAAGTGCTTTGTACAATGCGACCTAGAAAAATAAAATTCTTTTTATTCTCAGAACGTCCGTTGTGTAAATCTACGACATGAAATAATGCCATGCATCGCGCAATACGATTTAACAATGAAAATGCAAGCACACAAATGAATGCGAAGAAATAAGACGAAATACAAAGAAATGCTTGGATTTATTAGAATTCCATTGTTGATACCTCTTCGGGGACGGTATGCTTTCAAAACTTTGTATACGTATTTTATAGGATTAGATTGATATACATATTTTATCTTCTGCTCATATTCACTGGTTATAACTAAAACAGGTATTGTCTGTAGTTTACGCGAGTAGTACCGACACATTTAAAAATAACACCCCTCGTGACCACGGCTGCTGCAAAGCATCAGAAACACCGAATTGTAGTTAAAATACATACAAACATTACTAGATTTAATATGTAAATATCTTTTTTTTTTAAGTTTTTGTTTGTAGATACGAGAACAGGGCGTATGGCGGCAAATTTGATAAAAAAATGTCGTGAACCGTGTATTTCACAGTACGTAACTCGGTAAAAACACTTTGTTGAAACAAATCGTTTTCTCCTTGGTGTATTGGTAGAAGTGTGTGTCAATCAACAGTTCGTGAGTTCGATTTCCACCGAGGCCCAACATGATTCTAATCAGTTTATATTTTTTCTGAAATCTGGATATGAAATGAGAGGAAGGACTGTCATGATGGTCCACAAATAATAAGCCGTGAAGTTAAATCACGTTTCGGTGAGTCTTTGGATTTCCGAATATCCAAAGCTAAAAGCAGGTATGGATGAGGTATTTCACCTTCTACCAACTGAACCAATTGCTTGTCTATCATCCTCTATCTTAAAAAAAGTTCACAGTAAATTTTAAAGTATATATATAAATTGTCAAAATTCTTATCAGCAGTCACGAGCGGACGGCATCATCATCCTAATGATGTAATTTAATATTTATTATAATTATATATAATTTATAATAAAAAAAAAAATTACAATGATATGCTGATTTATGGCCGTGAAAGCCTTACACAATTTGTCAAAATTCTAATTATAAACGTATATATGAATAGTATTATAAGAATATGGAAATTTTACCTTAAATTAAAATTTTTATTATGTTTCCTGAGCTCCGAGGTATTATGGGAGAGAGTACATCGTTAGTTCCTGCTTTGCCGTAGATTCGACCTTTCTCATTTCCCCCCCAGCCACGCCCCTCACTGTAACTCTACCTGAATTTGCCACGCACAGGCAAGCCGCCAACTCTATCTTGTTAATCTCATAATAAATGTGAATAACCAGGTAGACCTTGTCTGGACCTCGGAGTCTCAGGAAACATAATAAAACTTAATTTAAGGTAAAATTTCCAATGTGTTCCGTTAGACGTCCGAGGTCCATTATGAGAGAAGTGTTTGTTATCTCTGGTGCTTGTAAAATAGAACGCAACAATGTGAATTTAAATTATTTATTAAATAATCATGGAATTCAAAATAATTTTTTATATCAACAGTAGGTACTAAATATTATTTAATCAACACTAGGCTTAAAGTATTGAGACAGAGAATGTGTTTCAACCTCTTTTACTCTCTACATTTCGACAATAATATCTCTTAAACGTTTGTTCGTGGCGCCAATTTGCTTTGGCAATCTATTAATGGGATATTTTTCTAAAAAATTTAGAGATCCACAGCCCTAAACACCAGCGAGGCTTCTTCCCGATTCTGAAAGGACTTTCTTAACCCAACCCCTATAATAGTAGTTGTAGCCGGTTTTACCGGGTCCCTAGTGGTAATAAATAAATTAGTTAGGGAGCCCTATAAACATACTTCGACTACGTTCTAAGCCAAAAAAAGGATTTAAATGTTTATCAGGACTCTAATAATGTCCAACTTGATTCCTATACGATCCTGTATCCGTTTTAGAACCGAATACTGGGTGCAAAATGATTGAGTCACCTTTATCAATGAAATGCTGAGGGTCACAGTGCAAGAGAGTTAAGTCATCACTCTACACCTGATGTCAATAGGAGAATAGTGGCTGTCGCTTCGAGACATCAAATAGACTATTTTCATTCGGGCTCGAATCTCTTAAGTAATGTATGACCGTTCTCGCATCCCATATTGGTAGCTTTTGAGGTATTGGTTTAGTGATGGAGATGGCTTTAAGCAAATGTTTTACCAAATTATTTGAAGAAATTTTTACATCACTTAGGGTTTCACAAATTGATGCTATAACAGATTTGTGCCATAATCGTAGCTAAATATCATTGAGGATAGTCTAGCTAAATATCTAGCCACATTAGTTGGCGCCGGAATTGATAATCTAAATTATTTTCTTGACACCACTTCACCCATTTTTTCCAAATAGGAGCATAGGTTTTCCTCGTGGATTGCCTATGTTGAAAGGAGATTTTTCTCATCATTCGACCAGTTTTCTATAAGCGAGTCCCAGCCGAAATTAACCATGCTTCCATTGAATTTTAACACTTGAGGCGCCCGTTACGGTTGATTAGAGTTTTTTCGAGATCTCGTACAAACTGGATGAGCCAAAGCTCGATTTTTAGATCTGGGCGCCAAAAAGCTTCTCCACTTGGGTGCTACTACAATGAACCTGCCTTGCCTGAGTTGAGGTGGTGCTACTGAGGTAGAAGCCCGGCGGAGGAAATATCCACGCCAGGTCGTATTTCCAGGATCTGCTGAAGGCTCGTATACAGCTTCCAGTCTAAACACGTAAATAATTCTGACTGCCTCTTTGAAGCAAAAAATCTATTTCGGGTGTTCCCCACATTGAATATTTCCCTGCTTGCCTCGGGTAAAATGCCATCGCCGCCTTTGCGATTTCGCGAGAGATGATCGGCTTCCATGTTGTACATTCCCGGTAAGTGATGAGGGATAGTACTTATTCAAACTGTCCGTCAGTGCCAAAAGTTCTTTGGTCATTGCAAGCATCTTTTCGACTTCGTTCCGCCTTCGTTTTTTATATACGATACACTGTTTTGCTGTCGCTCTTAATTATTTTCGAATCCTTCAAGGCTTCTGGATCCGATAAGATTGCATTTACACTGCATCTCCTTCAGATTGCAATGCCAGGTCATTTGCCGCGGAGTCCAATGACCTCTACGATGCTGTTGACTAGGGCTCCCCATGAACATCGGAAGCGTCTGTTTTAGGTAATTTGTGCGACTTCTTGCAGTGGTCGCGGTCTTTTGATCTGTTGTGTAGCCACCAAGCCAATTCTTGTCTCACTTCTTCTCCAATGGGCTGCGCTGAATTGGACTCCTCATTAAAGCTTGCTGTGTTGCTTGCGTTCGGCATCAACCTTCCCGGTGGGTGATGAAGGTTGCAAATTGAGAATACCCTAAGAGGCATTGGGCCTGCTTGAGAGTCCAATTGCCGGCTACAGCGGTCGACCTACGTTTTTGTTGATTTTTTCTGTGGGTAGGAACTTTCTGTTTGAGTTTGTGTCCCAAGTGATACCCAGAAAATCGATTAGTCTCGTAGGAGTGCATATCGATTTCTTTGAGTTTATGTTCCAGCCTAGATTCTGCAGAAATTGCATGGCTTTGTGAACCTGGGCCTGGAGGACTTCCCTGTCCTGGTGGACGAGCAGGTAATCGTCCAAGAAGACAATGACTCTTAAACCTTGACGGCGTAAAAGTTCTCTTCCAGTTTGTTACCGAAGCAAACATTGGACTTGCTAATCCAAATGGTAGGCACGTCATTTGAAGTAGTCTTCCCTTTAACTGACACGTAGGAAACATCGGTGTTTCCCGAGTTGGGACGTGGTAGTAAGCCTGGCTGATATCCAATTTTACCATCCAATCGCCCTGTGAAGAACTTCGGCTTGATAGTGATGAAACAATGAAAGGGCTCGGGTTTCATAAACTGATTTAATGCCTTCAGATTGAAAATCACACGTTCTTGCCGTTGTTTTTTCTTTTATAAAAAGCGGGGATATGAAAGATGGCGTCATGGGCGCAAATTCCAAACACGCTCTCGATCATTGTTTGAATTTCTAGATTCATGACCGCTGACACAGGAGTCTCGAACTTTTTTAGAATATCCTGCGTAGGTATTAGCAAGGGTGGTCGTTGATTGAAAGGTATTCGAGCGGAAGTAATAATTTTCAGAATTGAAGAAGGAGGTGTAATTTCTTCCAATTTTGCGATAGTACCTCAAACAACCGCCCGAAATCCTTTTGAGTCATTTATGCTTGTTTTTTAACTCTTTAGTTTGCGTCCCCCTTTGTTTTTTATCAAAAATCTTCCGCGTTTTGTTTTTTATGATTTTGCTTTGCATGTACTGTTTAACACGAAAGGGCTTTTCTAGTAAGGCATAGGTGGATTGCCGTGCGCTGGCGACTTCCTGCGTCTTAGGTTGAGACCCAACATCTTATCAATTTTATCAATACCACCCATTTGTAAATATGTAGAAATATTTCCGGTAAAATTTCTGCAGAAGGCGGAATTTTGTCCAAATCTTCTCTTACATATTTTCTTTTTAAATTTGTAAGCAATGTTTTACGTCGTAACTCTAAAGCTCAGACGTTTTCCGCAAATTATTTGCAAAATGCTGAGAAAGCCTTATATTCCGAGTTTTGACCGAAAAATTCTTTTAATTTATCATAAATAGAAGAAGAATTAAGTATAACGCCCCTGAGAGGACCAATCTATATAACCGCACGCTTTGTTAACAAACTCATGTGCTAAAAACTTAGATAACCACAAAACTCCGTTCCAAGGTAAGACTTCTGACCATTTGTGCTCTAAAAACGCAACTCTTCATTAATTTTCAGTTCGGTAAAAGCAGGGAATGCCACATACTTCTTTGTATGTCTACATTCGTAACATCCAATCCGAGGAGTTGAACCTCTGTTGAAATTAACTTTGACACGCGATCAGAGTTTGCCTTTGGAATCTGTGGTTCTTGAACGACACGTCTAATTGTGCAATGTCTTAATAATTATTGGTGAATTGCTAAAAGGATCGCTTAGTTGACTTAGATTCGGTCTCACTTCTGATGTGAGTTTGATGATGCCACGTAGTTGCAAAACGTATTATTTAAATGACTTACCAACTGTCGAGACAACTGTCAAACCTTAAATCTATTCTCGAAACACGCGAGAACGCTCGTACGTGGCGTTCTTTTCGTGGTCTTTTGGCGGCGGTGATCCTCTTCTTCGCTCGACTAGTCTTGACGATGAACACGACTCGTTGGAAGACGCAATAATTCGTTCTCAACGTGCTGAGTTGGCATCGCTGACTGCCGTTCGAAACACTTAATTGCATGGAAGACACGTCTTCACAATTTTTAACAGTTTTATTTTCTTCATTATACACGTCAGCACTTGTATTGCTCATTCTACACTTCACTCAAAAAACTTATGGGAAATTCACTAGACTTGTAGGTCGAATAAAAAAATTTTTAAAGCAATAAAAATACTCGTTTTTTAAAGCCAGAACAGCGACCGCGCAGTTCAAAAACCGCAACTGATCTAAGAGTCTGGCGGCTTGCCTTGCGTGGCAAATTCAGGTAGAGTTACAGTGAGGGGCGCTGGCGGTGCGGGGAAATCGAGAAAGGTCACTCTACGGCAAACAGGAACTACTGTCTCTCTCCCAAATGGACCTCGGAGCAACGGAACACATAATATAATTTATCATTAACTAGATGCTTTGGTGAATGTTATTTTAATATGTGAGATATAAGTTCTGCGAAAGGACCAAGAGCGAAATTCACGCTACAGTGGACGGACTAAAAAAGCGATAATGTAAAATGTAATTACACTGAGCTCTCCTGGGAAAAGCCGGGTACAGATAAAATATATTAAATATATGTCGGTCCCGCATGTAGGTACGGGGGTTATAAGGTAATTGATTACGTTCATTTGATTTGAGTGAACTTAATGTATCAAATTTAATTCATTTATTTCGCAAAGTTAAGTAAGATCTCTTCTTTTTAATCCACAAATTAAGATTTGAATAATAGATATATATTCACCTAGTGTGAACGAAAAGGATGAATAAGAAGTAAAAGTATTATGGAAACATCAAAACAAGGGACTCAAAACCTACTACCGTGTCATTGTCTTACCAACTGAATCGTTTGAAAACTTTATTATTTTTTACATGTTATTGCACATGAAGGCACTAAATAATTTAAAAATTGAAAAATTTTTCTGCTCGGGCAGGACTTGAACCAGCATCGTCAGCGTTCCGTGCTGACGATGCCGGTTCAAGTCATGCCCAAGTCGAAATTTTTTTTCGATTTTTTAAGTCTCTATACGAGTAGTAAACATTTAAATAAATCACTTTAAACCGTTTAAAACGCGATATATATTTGCTAACTTCTTGATTTTAACTAGGGCTCGACGTTTCGGATACTTTCCAGCTGGTCACGGGGGGAATGAAGATAGAGGATGTCTCGAATGTCAAATTCACTACTGCTACGCTAACGCCATCTGTTTCGTAGTTGATATTTGTGTTCGTCGGGCCGTATTTAAAATAAATTGTAATGATCATATCTCTACTTACCGTAGGCAGCTTGGGTGTCTACCCATTCGGCTTAGACGTGATTCCCATACGTAGACCTTCTGTACTCTATCCTCTTTAATCCCACTGCTCCTACATACCTTAAACGATCTTTCAAATTTGCTTGCGGTCTGTGGAAAGATTAATTCTAGAAATTCCCAGTCCCTCTGCGAATTTTGCTGGTCACTCCGTTTCCATCTCTGCTGCAAAACTTTGGAACTCTCTACCTGACTCCGTCCGACTAGCTCTTTCCTTGACTTCTTTCAAAAGTCTTGTATATAAACATCTACTGTCCTTATCATGTTAATAAATGTAACAATCCATTTCCTTTTAATATTTTTTATTTTGATGGGTTTTTATTATTATTAATTTAAGTTTTTTTGTTTAGTTTAAGTAATTGGTAAGTTTGGCACTTTTTCCAGAATGTATAGTTTTTTAATTAATCGTTAAGTCTCTTTCTACTCGGGTTGCCTGGAAGAGATCGTTTAGAGCGATAAGGCCGCCCGGTACACTCTATAGTTTTAAATTATGTATCTATATGCTCTGTTTTGGTGTACCTAAGTGTGAAATAAATAAATAAATAATAAATAAATGAGTAACTAATATATTTCGTCGTTTAAACCGTTAAATGAGTTTTGTTTTAATATTTTTTCAATTCATATACGTATTTTCGATACGAGTCGAACAAATTTATACGAAATCTAATTCTCTATACATTTTCACCTCACGGTTTTTCTAACACTCAGTCAAACTAACCGTGAAAATTTGTTTCCGGGCGTCCTCCCGTCCAATGTAGGTAGATTGGTAGGTAGGTAGGCAGTAAAAAAAACCACCCTCGATTTATCATTGAATACTCTAGTATTAGCAAGGGTCTAATGATGATGACGCTCGTTTTTCAGATAACAAAAGCACATTAACCCAATATTTAAATTTATGGGGCACAATCTACCCCATCTCTATCATAGATTTCCTTTATCTTAATGACGTCACGGTAACAGTTTTATTTGCAAGACAAACAAGCTATTGGGTGGAGTTAATAAATCTGCTTTCATTGTGTTTAGTTCGGCGAGGACCATTGTGCGGCTGTCGTGGCTAATATGATTAGAGTATTTGTGACGCCATGCATTAGATATCCACCATATAACATTGACTCGTCAGTCTAATGGTAGCTAGAGGTTAACGGGTCGTGGCTTCGATATCCACCAGGTCCAAACATGTTTTTAATTAGTTTATAATTTTTCTGAAACATGTTAGACTCCGTCTGGATATAATAATGTTAAAGGTAGTGTTGGTGGTATATCCAAATTCCGTCCGATTCTTGAACCACTGTCCACAGATGAAAAAGTAATGCGCTGTCATTTTTTATTTTTATGTTTTACACAACACGCCTTTTCATATACATTATAGCTTAATAATGTTTTTTTTTTAACTTGTTTATAACCGAGTCATTTAAAAACTATGCACAGATTATATTTAAGAAGATAAATTAGGTTGTGGAATATTACCCTTAAGCAAAAGCTTTTAAATAAAATATTTGATCGTCTTTATCTAAAAACATTCTTATCACTTAATCTTCTAGCACCTAAGACAGAATTATACTTTACTAATATAACATAGTGAAGAATGTATTATAACATGCTCTTTAAGAAGGCTAATATAAGTCAGAAACAACCCTTAACATTGATATGGCACGAGAACTATAAATATAATTAATTGAATCATTTCTGAATTCTGAGTTATATCAAATTGAGTTCCGAGTAGTGATTTAGTTTAATTACACCAATATTGTTTATTGGAAATTATAGAGTTTCCGAAATCCATTAATTATATTAATGATCATTAGAGAACACATTCCTGTTACAAATCAAGTCAATTAGTATATCATTATTTCAGACCTTAAACAGGTTAAAGACTTTGATATTTTTCACGTGTTGCACATGATGGCACTATATAAATTAAAAATCGATTATAAATTTAAAAAAAATAATCACTTCGGTTGGACTTGAATTGCCATCCACAGCGTCCCGGGCTGTTGCTTTAACTAATTGAGGTACCGAGGTCTACACGAGATCCTTCAACAGTTTACAGACATAAAAGCCTTCTACTATAAGAACTTAGTAGTCGATGATCTATTTGTTACCTTCACTGAGGAACATGTTCTGTGTGTCCAGTCACTGGTTGAATTTTACTTAAATACGAGTTAGACAAAATTCTGTGCCCTATCCAGCCGAAACGTTATTTTGCTATTCCGGTATTACCTGGAATCTGGTACTAAGAAACACGTATATAAGTATTAACTATAGTTTACGCAAGTAATTCAAATAAGACACTTTGAAATTTAAATGAAAAAGTTGTGAAGTGTATTTGCGTTTCAGTTCCAGTCTGTAGATGTCCGAATATCCTAAGCTAAAAAACGGCCCCCGGGGGCATCAGCTTAGATGTTAAATTGCTTGGGCATTTCCTTCCATCAAAGGAACCCCGTGCTTATAATATATAGAAAAGAATAATAGTAATCGATAGTGCGTTTTGATTTTACAACGCTTTAGCGTTACGCGTTTGATTAACTTGACTTATTTAAAATGTTTTTAAAATTCTTCCCTCGCGCCTTTTTTTTTTTTTCCCGAAAAAAAACCCCCCTTTTTTTTCCCCCCCTGCCCCCCGCCTTTCAAAAAAAAACAAAAAATCGGGCCGAAATTAAAAAAATTTTTTTAAAAATTTTTTTTATTTTTTTTTTTTTTTTAATTTTTTTTTTTTTTTTTTTTTTTTTTTTTTTTTTTCTTAAAATTTAAAAATTTTTTTTTTTTTTTTTTTTTTTTTTCAAGATCATATTTGATTTACACTATAATAATAAATTGTATGAACATTAATTATTTGGATGTGGGCATTGTATAGACGTTGTTTATATATGCTTATTATATGTTAAAATACTTTTTAAATTCAAATAACATGTGAAAACCATAACTATTTAAAATAAAAATTCTGCAGCAACTGAGTTAAATTCGAAGCCAACATTTTTTATCATGTTTGCCTTAAGATTTCATATGCTACGAAATCTAGTTTCAAATGCCTGGATGCATGTTAACTTATATATTATGTAGTGTGAATTTCATTCAAAGAACCCTGGCAGACTTCGCCTTTTACGAGTAAGTTTGTATAAAGGAAATGCTAATTAAATACTAATTAGTGACAAGCAAGGAGTATTATTAATTATGTTTTGGTAGCATAGTGTGGCTTAATAATTAAGGGATTTTGGGTTCGAATCCCACTGGGTCCAATATTTTTTTAATCTATACTAATATATAAAGCTGATAGTTTGTTTGAACGCGCTAATCTCAGGAACTACGGATTCGAATTGAAAAATTCTTTTTGCGTTGATTAGAGCATTTATCGAGAAAGGTTAATGGCTAAAACATCTAACAATGATCTAAAACAATGACCGGGACATTATATATCTGTCTTTTAAGATAACCTTGCAAGGACGACGGGACAGGAACTAAAGGTCGCGTTTGGATGCCCAAAATAACTATTCTACGCAGTCGAAGTCGTTGACCCAGCTAGTCATTAAATACATTTTCTGACACATGTGGACTTCGTTTGAAAATCTGAATAGTAAATTAAACAGATGAAAAACCATGAAGTTTATTAACTTTACGGTTTTAGTCTGTGGATTTCCGATTCTAAGCCAAAATTCCGAATCATTTCTTGAGATGCTATGTGGCTGGGGTATTTCCTTCCATCAAGCGAACGCCATGCGTGAACGCCTCCTATTTTAAAAAAACTAAATTAAATATAAGTTGTCGTAAAAATAACACTGTTATACAAGCTATGTATTTTTATATAACTATTACTTGGCACTAAAGAAATTATACAACGTTTTACTAACCGTTAAAATATCGCTACGAGGAAGAAACGAACTATTATGAAGGTAAATATCCCGACCCGAATAGAAAATTTTATAGTTCCTTCGTAATATTCATGTTGACATTTCGGGGTCTTTTAATATTCTCATCTAATAAAGCTATTTTAGATGTAAATTTCAACTGACCCTTTCGGCTAAACGTGACCCAGTTTTCTTGGGATAAGCAATATAATATTTCACTCTCTTAAGAGGGAAAAATCGTATGTCACTATTTAAATACTCGTATTCCCCATGACATGTACCGGAGTATTCTTTATATTTTTTTTATAAGAGATAGTCTATCTATACTAATATATATAGCTGAAGAGTCTGTTTGTATGTATGTTTCAACACGCTAATCTCAGGAACTACGGGATCGAATTGAAAAATTATTTTTGTATTGGGATGCAATACAAAAATAATTTGAGTTGCAAAAACCAATTTGGATGTCTAAAATAATTATTCTACGGGCACGAAGTCGCTAGCACAGCTAGTTAGAGATAAAGAGTCTATCTCTTTACATTTCATCAGAAAATAGATGTAAAATAAAATGCCTCACTATTATTTACAAACATTTTAGAAACAACGGGAAGTAAAACCAAATTATCGTTATTATTTTAATAAAACACATAGAACGGTTTAAAACACGAAATATACTTAAAAAATTACTTCGACCCTAAAGTATAGAATATAATGTTAATAGTCGTAACAATTACCGATCTCAATTTAGACTGATTTCTGAAATAATTACTAAAGACCTATACAGCAAAACGTAAAAGATAATACTGAAACGTACGTAACGTATACATAGTTCGTACAAATCATCAAATTTCAATTTAGTAAAGATAACAATAGGTTGCTTTATGTTTTCATGTCAATCATTGGTGCTTTTATCATCGTCATATCAGTTTCGGGTTTCTTGTAATAAAATAAGTTCATTGCCTTAATATTATACTAAATCATGTTAGACTTATTAATATTTAATATCATAATATTTAAGACAAGCTGATTATCGATTTTTTTGTTTTCGTGGTTTATGACAATGAGAACAGCGACACGAAACAAAACCTTATTTCCGAGAATATTATATAATTCTTTAACACGTACTATACACAGATTAAAAATACCTAGCGGTTTAGGCTTAATTGTTAACTGAAACCTATATGTTAATTTTATGTTACAATAATTAATTTAATTATTATAACGAAATAAACTAATACAATTTTATTGCAAAGATTTCGTTCCTTTTCTTCATCTATCACTAATTCTGTTTTATTAATGTTTAAATCTTATTAGATTGAAATACAATAAGGACTCAAACCGACGATCACGAGCTAGATTAACGTGTGATCTTCAAAAAATTTTATCTCATCTAATAAATGTTATAAATAATATGTAGAATAAACAACTATGATATTTTGTCTGCAGGTTTGTCAGCTGGCGGGGCTGACAGTACGGATCCAGACAGCATTTTCGCGGTCAGCAACGGCACCGTTGAGACCGAACCAGCGGTTCAGCCAACTTTCGACAATGCCACGAAACGCGAGTACACAGCCGCTGTTGGTCAGCCAGCGTATTTACACTGCCGAGTCAAGAACCTTGGAGATAGATCTGTTAGTATTTAATTTTTAGTAATTAAAATAGCTATAAACTAACTAGGAACAACATGCTGTGCTATTGCACTATAACGTCTCGTCTTTAATCAGCACGTTTTATCATTCCCTCTTAAAGTACCGTGTTATAATATCTTTGAGGGATTCCATTGCCTACGTTGCAAAAACGGTTCGAGATACCCAAAAAAATATATGAAAGAATAAGTAGTGAGAGAGTCTTTAAGTAAAGTAAAAAATGTCCGTGACAGGTATCAGACAGACATCTATCTTTTAAGAATAATTTGCAAGAACGTCGGGACATAACTGATGAGGTTATAACAGCTATAATTGATAAAGATGGCGAGGAGGTTTGCAAAAATATCTCTACGCGAACTAAGTCACTGGCATAGCTAGTTCCGACAAATATTAATATAAAGTATTGTCGTTCATAATATCCTTTTAACGATAAAAATATGACTTACAAAAGAAAAGACTTGCGTAATCCTTGTACATTTTATAAAAACTAAAAAAAAGTTTGTTGTTCACTATTGGTTGATGAAGATCTCTATTTTCATCGTAAAGCTATATAACATTGTTATGTGGATAAAAGCCTACCTACACAATAAAAATGTTACGTTAATGATTATATTTTATAAAATATTACTGCGGTTGTATTACATTCTATGGCATTGGATAAATGATATTCATTCTATGCGTGCATACTACGCAATGCGAGTTTGTACTGATTTACAAGAGCCTGATTATTACTCGTTTTCTACCTATCTGTATTAAAAGAAATGTAAAAGATTAATTAAATTAGTTATATAATTCTAATTACAAAAACATATTCTCGTATTGGTACAAGATATCTAATTAAAAGATAATTAAAATATTTTTGTCTGTAATTCTAGATTTGCCAGCGATTTCGTCCGTGTAGAGTAGTTATTTTGGCCGCTGTTTTACTACGATGTCTTTCGCGACCCATCGTTCTTGTAAGTTCGTCCTCAAAGAACAGACTTATTTAAAGAGAATCATTCTTTCATACGGAGAAATAAGGGGTATCTTGAACAAGCATACGCAACAGAAACCCATAGGGATGTATTTCACCGTTATTTCCACATTTCCCGCTGTTTCTTCGCTCCCTGTTTATAGCCTAGCTTCCTCGATAAATCTCTTACCAACACATTTTTTTTTCATTTGAACCAGTGGTTCCTGAAATTAGCGCGTACATATACCTTTATAAGTACAGGCATTATCTATATTATGATCTACATTTAAAGATAATAATTAAAAAAAAAATTAGAACGAATGAAGCCGCCTAAAAAAAATATTTGATCTTTACTACATATTGCACTTGAGTTCATAGTGAAGCCACAAAATTTTGGCTCATGTCGTGTCTAAGTAGAGTACTGAAGCACATTATTGGAAAATTCCTAATGTTCCCCCAGTGGAATAACACGAGTATGGTAACGAAAAAGAATAAGTATTCTTGGCATTCTGTCATGATTATACCAAAGTGAGACAAGGTCGTGAGCAGCAATGTCAAGTTGTCAAGGATTTTTCGTTATCACGATACAATAATTATCTACGACGTGTTTTTGAAGTTATACAAAAATTCTGTTCAGACTTTACATTTAGGAAGAGGATATTTTGCTAATTATTATTTTTACCTCCAGAATGAAAGTACCTATTCAATAATAGCAGATAAAATACCTACTAAAAAGTACGTCACCTATGTGGCCAAATGTTCAGCAATACGACTGACTAACTTTACCAAAATATCTCGAAATTTGATAAAATTTACCATGAGTTTTCATGAGGGGCGTGTAGTAATAGTTATTTCAAAGCTGGTATGTTCGAAGAAAATTTTTAATTAAAAACATTTACAGGAAATAAAATGCTAAACGGTATTTTAAATCTACAATAATTAATTAAGGCTTAAAAAAGGCGAAATATATTAGTCATCGTATTTTTAACTTAAACCTGCTGTTTCAGTTGCTTTGCTGTGGCCGAAATTACTTTTATATGTGGCGTTTGAAACCGTTAAACGGGATTATTTTAAACGAACGCGCTGCGAATCGCATGAACTACTGACAAACCTTTCTTTATTACCAAATAAATATATCTATTTCTTATAATTTTGTGGTCGGTGTTTGACCGAATAGTTTGTGGTCGATTTAACCAAATATTCCTACTGAAAAACTTAAACGACCACAATACTCCACATGCGATTATAGTAAGATTTTATTAAAATGTAGACAGTTGCATTAATCTCATTAGAATAATATTTAAAAATGTGCTCTTTCCATTGTCTTTAAAGTTTAAAACTGTGGGCTCTAAATCTCAGCGTCTTTCGCGATTACAAACAGGCGAAAGCTTTATACGAGCGTGTCGGTTTTGCCTCGGGCCTTCTCCTCGCCAAGTTTCTTTGCGACTTACTCTGGTGTACCACAAATTTATGTTAGACAAAGCCTAGTTAACGGTTTTTTAATCTAGTCCTATAAAGATCTTCTGTAATAAAAATAGTACTAACCTTAATCTGTAGTGTTACTCGAATACTACACATTAAATAGAACACTTTTAACTGTTCAAAAAGTATTTTAATTCTTTTCCCGTGACTACGGCGATGTACATGTTACAAATCGATATATTTCACGTTTTAAACAGTTAAACGTGGTTTATTTAAAATAACAGCAGTTTGCGTTTTTCCCCCGAAAAACTTTTACCATCTTAATAAATCCAGGTCACAAACTTTTATATATAAAAACCTCCCGGCCGACCGGTTATTTTTTCCCAATATATTTTCTTCCTTTTCAAAAAAAAAATTTTTTTCCCCCCCCCGGGTGTTCCCTTTTAATTGGAATTTTTTTTTAAAAACCCCCCCCCCCCCCCAAAGGGGGGGGGGGGGGCCCCCCCCCGGTTTTTTTTTTTTTTTTTTTTTTTTTTTTGGTTTTTTTTTTTTTTTTCCCCCCCCCCCAAATTTCCCCCTTTTTTTTTTTTTTTTTTTTTTTTTTTTTTTTTTTTTCCCCCCCCCCCCCCCCCGCCCCCCCCCTTTTTTTTTTTTTTTTTCCCCCCCCCCCCCCCCCCTTTTTTTTTTTTTTTTTTTTTTTTTTTTTTTTTTTTTTAAAACCCCCCCCCCCCCTTTTCTCCCGCCCCTTTTTTTTTTTTTTTTTTTTTTTTTTTTTTTTTTTTTTGTGTACTACTCGCGTAAACTATAGACAGGCAATTGATTTGATGTTTTGCAGTTTGCGAAATTTTTGCAAGCCGTTTAAAACGTTCGTCACCCAAATCTAATGCGAAAGCGCTGCTCGTTTAATTATAAATGCGCACCGCTTTCTCGAAACAATGGTATCCACATTCCGGGCCGCGGAAAATAAAACCGATCCAAACTCAATACGAGCTCTCATATAAAAGATCCTTTATATATACACGTTGCAGAGAATTTGTGTAATTGTCTAAAAGTTTTACACTCACAATTTTGTGAATGAGATGAAAGTTTTATTGCGTTTAATTTGTTAAAGGCTCTTTGAAACGTTTTTTCGTAGAGTGGTTTTATTTCAAAGTGGCAATTTTTGTGCGGACGCTAAATGGGAATAAAAATGCGTTTAACATAGCTCTGTTTGTTACGCGGTATTATCTTTATGGATATTAATATTTTACGATAATATTTTATGTATTGCCGCTTCGTTAATCTAGCGATTAGTGTCACTTTTGACTGTTGAATAAATAGGATTAAGTTATTGAAAAACAATATGTTTATTAATAAAGAAATATTCACAAAAAACATAGAAACCGCAATTTAAATAAGGCACTTTCAACGGTTTAAAACGCAAATGATATTGTTAACTTAATGTTAATTATTCATTCATACTACATACAATACATTATTTTATGAGCTACGTTTAGTTACATGACCGTATATATTTATAGGTAATTTAAACTTCTCTACCGTGCCCTGCCCGGGATTTGAACTTTGGGTGCCTTAGATGCTTAGTGACTGTAATTCCTATTAAACAACGTTACCACATAATACATTTTAAAAGACATACAGTCAAAGGACGGAGTTGTGTTAACGGAGTCGTATGATTATAAACCTACGTGCCTACAGCAGTAAATTGTGTACCTTTTTGTATTCGGGCAAGACCGCGTTTCAAGTGTCTTGCTCATTTGCGCTTTTCTTTATATTTGGCTTTGCTTTGTTTATTATGCAGGCTGTAATTTAAACCCGTTTTGCTTCGCTACAACCTTAAAAACAGTATAGCCTTTGTTTTATCGAAATGTGTTGAGCACTTTAAACATTTTTTGCTAAGCGGCCAATCAGAAACTGTATTCACTTCTCATTCGCTATATTTCTCCAACTATGCATTCTGTGACCACAGAAAGTAAGCAGAGCATCCGAAACGTCGGGTCATAGTTAAAAGTAAGTTAGCTATCATGTTTAAAATCGTTAAACGTTTTTTAATTAACCTATCTATTCTTATGACCCTGAAAAGTGTTAATCTTTAAGGTATAAGAAAGTTTATCTATGGGTTTAGTTTATTTGTTTTATAAAAGTATCACTCGGTTTTTGTTTTGAAGTAATAAATCTATGAATATGTTTAAATATCAAAATAACGTCAAACATCGCCTTGTTATTGCATATAACTACTACTGAATAACATCTAATACATATGTATGTATAGAAATAAATAAACACTTGCAGTATTTAAAAGTAAATTATAAAAAGCTCATATTTCATACATACAACGCGTGTACAATGTTGGAGACAGGAGCAACGTAAATACGGCTTATATCTAAATTAAGTCGTCATTTGCATACTGATCTCGTACACTTGCTCCAGATATGCAAAACCATTACAAAATACAAAATAATGGCGCACACGGCCGTATAATGCGCGATTTAGTACAATGCATAGATAAGTATAGTACTAGGTAATCAGATTATTGGAACATTTTTGGGTCTGCAAATTATACAAGTGGGTGAAATCACGTCCTTTATTTGGGGCATTTGGGGGCTTAGAG